TGTTGGAAACAGGAAAATTAGAGTAGATAATAGTGCAAGGCGTATTACTCTCTCTATTTCAGTTCCAAGTTCAAATAATTATTTTTGTTTAATCGTTACCCACCTATGAAGTGCTAGGCACATCCACAGTCAGCGAGCGATCCCGAATAAGGTCAATCATTAAAGAATTAGGAAATAGAGTTACTATCATAGCTATTTTTTTTTAGAATGTTTTCAAGGAAGTTTGGATGAACAGGAATTGTGACAAGTTTAAAGAAACACAAAAAAAATGTTGATATTAATTATCTAAAATTTTGATCACGTTATCGGAGAGAGACAGAGGTCATTCGCACCCAGACTAGCGAGACGCGCTGGAGAGATGGATTTACTGGTTCTCACTTACTCTATATTGAACACCCTTTATTTCTCGTTCTAATCCAGATAGTAGGGGTTGTTTCAGGTACTCGATTTTGGTCTATTTCGTCCTTAGAATTGGTATATCTAAATTCCGAGTTTTATTTAGAGAAAAACACAGGTTTCACAGTTCCTTTTTGTACACTATTGGTTTTCGGAAGTTAAGTTAGTAAATATTGAAAGTTAATGTGTCCAATGCACAGATCACTGTCACATTCACGTAACGGGTAATTTTGCACCCCTTCAACCGCCACGCGTCGGGAACCCACGATAAATCATTCGTTGTGATCTAATTCCCGAAAATTGACTCGAGGTAGTCGCGGACTCCAAGCAGGATTAATTACTGGTAATGGATAATAGTGCGCGAAAAGCTCAAGGAGTTAGTCCAGAGATTTTTACTCTTTGAACGTCGGAGCGTAACTGCCATTAATACTTGTGGGATGGCAACAGTCAGAATTTTTTTGATGATTTGGATAAAGGGTCACGTGGGTTTTCGACGTGGAGCGGTTCCTTTTTTTTTCTTTTCAGGTGGAATATTTCTTCGGATCTAACTGCATGACTTTGGTTCAACCTTCAAGTCAGCAGATTCCTAAACAAAAGTCCGGCGCGTGTAGGAATTTCGACGTTTCTTTAGTGAGAATTAATTTGTTAATTGTCTACATATTGTAATTTTCAATCTATATTTGTATTTTTTTTTAAAGAAATTAAATTCCAAACGTAACAGTCCCCCTAAGGAGATGAGCGAAATGTGTTTTCGATTATCTTCTTACTTACGCAGGGTTTTTGCTTACGATCACAAGTTTGAATATGATACTCTGTGATAACGCGCATTGCTTTCTGTAGGTTTCTCTTATTAATTGTATAGTAAATCGGAATAAAATTTTCGTTTCTCACGCGGAGAGGTGATTGACTCGATGCGAATCATTTGGTCGGAATTCTCCAACCTCCAACAAATGCGTGGATCGAGTATTGATTTGTAACGAGTGTTCGTAAAGTGGGCTGGGATACTTGGAAGGATTTGGATTTTGAGATGAATTGATATTATCTGGCGTGCCATGTTGAGATGTAACTATTTATTGGCACTTTAACAGTGACGGAAGGATTCGAGTGTGATAGTCCCTTGGACGGGGTTACTCCTGGTATTATTATGATTGTGAACCAAGGATGATTGGAGGCAATCCTTCTGTATGTTTACTATCTTAATTTCTGAATGGCTACGCTGGTATAAAGAAGCGGGTGTCACTGCGTCCAGCGTACGCGTGTATCGCTCACCATGTGGTCGCTGCTTTGTTGTCGAGGAATGTGGTGTTAATGCGGCAATGGCTCCATCTACCATCCGTCTGTTGCGTTTCCGGTTTTTATTGACGGGAAGGATTGGTTTAAATGGTTGTGGATTTTGGATTGCGTGATAGGTGCTGATGGGAGG